GCTAAAAAATGCACACTTCATAAATAACTCTGTGGTGTATGTATTGCAGCTATCTCGTGCCTAAATAGAAACATTATTTTTCAAATGTGTCGTCAAGGACACATACAAATACTCACTTCTCTGTCGTCTCCTCTCTCTCTCTCCTTCTTTTGACAGAAATACCACGTTAACTCAAAAATGACATTACATCCACTACAGACCAACTGTTCTCCTTGCAGCCGTTCCGTGCCCCGCAGCCCCAGCGCTTGCTTTGCCTGGGGATCCCCTGCTCACCCAACGCCCAGCAGAACTCAACCCGCTGCCCAGCAAGGTGCAGCAGATGGCCAAGGTTTGGCAGCGCACGCAGGGTTATAGCACTCGCCGTCAGGATACTCAACGAGAGCTCCGCAGCTCGTGTTCTTCTTCACTTCAGAGATTCTTATCCCTGGTGGACTCTAGAAACCTTTTACTCCACCAACACGCTTGCCAGGGGCAAAATCCTGGCCCCTGCTTAAATCCAAAGCAAAACTCCTAGTGACTTCAATCAAATAGGGTATTCATTCCAGGTTTTCAGATTCTGTTCTGAAGCTGACAAAGGAAAAATCAACAAAACTAGCTACTTTCTGTAGCTTGACAGGGTAAAGCCACATTTCAGCATTTAAAACTCACAAAAAAAGCCTGCAGAAAAACATGCCTCATGCCTACCAAATCCTTTTAACAAAATTCATCAAAGTGCAATGGATGTGTATTTTAATTTTCAAATTCCACCAGCCCTTGACAGATGGATGCCTGGATTGCCAGCACCATTATCAATCTTCATGCACTAACATTCTCTACGGCACGGTCCATTTTCTCTGAATATTTCCATAAACTTTCTAATCTCGTACTTCACAATGGTAAGTTTACTGATAGTAAGAAAGACCACAAAGGATTATGGATGCGTTAGAAATGTAATGGGCAAACACGTACTTCCTGTGGCTCAATAAAGGTGTTTATTCCTAAGTGTGGAGTCCGAGAATGAATTTACACACATGTGTGTGAACATGCATATGGGAAAATAATTAATAAAGGTCTGTAGTAAATAAAATACTTTAAAAATGTTTTTAATAAAATATTACATTAAACTTGATTGTAGTTTAAAAATGAAAAATATTACAAATCTAGATATTTCAGTATCTGTGGAATAAATTCACTAAGCCTGCTGACATTACCTATGGCTAATATTGACCAAAATCTGCTTTCTAAAATTTGAGACAAAAATATTTAGTGTAAAAGGAAAGCATGGAGTGGCATAAAGACTTAAAGCTGTCTAATGTTTCTTACCTAGTAAGTCAAATTACGCTTATTCCATTACAACAATTTTTTTTTTATGAAGTTCTTTGCCTCAAGATCTAAACGTTTTATTTCCTAACAGGACAGTTCATTGCTGCTAAGAACTGTTAAATGAGACTGGACATTACATGCCTCACAGGCTTGCAAAAAAACCAAAGGTATCTTAGCCCTTTATTCAAAGGTTAAGAAAATATTTCTAGCTCCTCGCTGAAGTGCTTAGCCACGAACTATTCAACTCAGCCACATCTTTTAAGAGCTATAAATGAAGCAGTGTCTGATCACACACTTGGTGTGTTTAAACACAGACACCATTTGTTTAAGCAATAGCTTCACGGGGCTGCGCTCTGCGAACGGCACGGCGGCAGAGAAGCTCGTGAACAGGACCAACGCACGTTTTGAGGTACGCCGACATCCAGCTCTTCTGGGCCCTGCCTACAGAACAGCCACGCTCTCCGGGGCCGTGGCCAAAGAATACTCTCAGCAACCCTTTACAGACGTTTTCCCCATTTAGACCCTTGACCGCAGGACGAGGCACAGTGGAAGTGTTACTGCCCTCGGCGAGAAAGACACAGCTGAGCTTTCCAGCAGCTACCTGGGAATTGTGCCACTGGGGCTGTCATCAGTGTTCACGGCTTGCAGGTGCCAGGCTTCTCCGCCGAGCCTAAGGAGCACCCACCAGGCTCACCCCACCTACCCCGAGAGCGCGAGCCTGGGTCTCCGGTCAGACCTGCAGGCTGCCCAGGTGAAGGGACTACCGGTGGGGATGGATTACCACCCTGCCAGATCGACACCTCACTCTCCAACACAGTATGTCAGAACGACAGCATTTTTGTGCAACACTTACCGTTTCGTAGTAACTGATGCAGAGGCTAGGTTAAGGAATGACAGCAATGGATAGCACATCCCGGAGGATAATACTTTCTGCAGGGGTGTGAGGAGTCACTTCTTACCCATCCTGGTGGCAGCTGGGCCAGCACATCTGAGCAGCCCGGGGCAGGACAGGCGGGACAGCAGCGCGCCAGGAAAGAAAATCTGAGAGAGAAATATTCTGAGAAGTGCCTCTTCCCCCTCCTGCTGCACTCGGTGGACTGACAGAGCCTGCGGCAGCCTGCTGACCCGCGTGCCAGGCATGGTAGTCTAAGACTACGGCCACGATTCCACTCCTGTTCTTTTTTCCTTTCCTTGGAAGAAGACTGCTTCCAAGACCATAGCAGCTGCTATTTGATCAAGTCTACCCCAACACTTTCCAAAAGCTGTTTAGTCAGCATGTTTTTCCTCATTCTTTTCTCCCATTACTTACGTGTCAGCAAATCCATTTTCTATTTATATCCAGGTCGCTTTCAGTAATGAAATCAACACACGGTACTTAGGGAATTTAGAATAAATGCAATTGTAACAGTTAAAGTGAATAACCATGTTAAAATAATGCAACTTCATTTTATTGTTACTTAACATCCACAAAGCTTAACTAGTAGTAAAGCAATCATCAGGGAAGTCTTTTCAGAACAAAGTTTGATCTCCAATTGAAGATGCAAAGTCTACGTCAAACATTTGTTTTTCCCAAAACATTCTGTATACTCTAACAATAGATGAATAGATTACGCAAATAGGATGATATACAAACCACAATTTCATGCTCCATGTTCTATGACTAGTTTTACTTTGTGACTTTATGCATTTGTACCTTAATGTTCTGAAATCTACTGCTGTTTCCATTGTTAAACTAGCATTTTATAATGACTTTTAAAACCTCTATTTGCTCAGAAATTCTCCTTATTCCTTTGAAGTCAACCTCAGCAATTCCCAACCTCCATGTCTAGCTCCTTTGTATTTCTTCTTAGAATCATAGAATCATTAAGGTTGGAAAAGACCTCTAAGATCATCAAGTCCAGCCGTCAACCCAACCCCCCCATGCCCGCTAAACCATGTCCCCAAGCGCCACATCTACACGTCTTTTAAAATACCCCCAGGGATGGTGACTCCACCACTTCCCTGGGCAGCCTGTTCCAAGGCCTGACCGCTCTTTCAGTGAAGAAATGTCTCCTAATATCCAATCTAAACCTCCCCTGGCGCAACTTGAGGCCATTTCCTCTTGTCCTATCTCTTCTTGCTCAGAAGAGATCCTCAGGAAAAATACTATGTCTCTTGAAAGGTTTCTTTTTCAATGAGGAAGAAACTTGGTGAAGGTTAAACCAACTTGGGTAATATTCATGAGATATTACACTACTACCTTGTAGGTGGCGTAAGAAAGATGCCATTAGGGAATTCAGTCAGTAGGGAGATAAACACTGCTTATAATGAAACATTAAATAAAACATGAAAACCCATAGGTAAATGCCAGAGAAAAAGATGCATTGTGTTTGCAGTTAACTACATTGATAAATACACAGCACATAGCATGAAATGGAAAAATTAAAAATGCAGTCATTATAGAAGCAAAATTAAAAATAAATGATTTAAGGTATCTGAATATAAATTTAGTGTGAACAAGCTTTTTTCCACCTTGTAGTACTAAAGTATGCATTGACTGTTTATGCAATGAGCTGTTGAAAACAAAGAGGATCACAGAACTGGCTAGGCTTGCACGCCCTCCCTGCACAGCATCTTTGGGGTGCCACAGCCTAAGCCATAATACGGGGCTAGGCGGAGCACTGGCATGACCTAGCGTGACACTTCCTATATTTTTAAAAAAGGGGGGCGGGGAAGAGGGAACAGAGAAAAGTACATTTAGAGTTGTACACAAAAAAAAGGCACTTTTCTTTTTGATCAAGCCAGAACAGAAAGTATAAGAAGCAACTTATCTATTTGGAGCTGGATCTTTGGCACCTAAACTAGAAACAAAAGGACATCTTTGTTCGTAAAGGATGGAGAAGGGGAAGAGAGACTAGATACGCTTGTTTCTCTGAAGATGGGCATCGTGGTACCGCTCACAATGGTTAACCTCTCTGTTGTTGTTTACTCCACGGGTCTGCATGAGGATTAAGCATCACTCCAAGGACTCTGACAGTTCAGTTTAGAGAAATATGAAATGTAGGTTTTCATGTGGCGCGTATCAGTAAATCTGTGGATAACAAAAATTTGGTAGCTGCCTAATCAAACTATCGGCTTCCAAACAACTAACAGTAAAATAAAAAAATAATCAGTATGTCTTGATGCCAGGTTTTGACCCCAATATTATTAGTTACGAGGGAAAGAATGATCTTTTATACAAAACTTTTTCCTCTGATGAAAAACAAGGAAGTATAAAAAAATTACAAAACGAAAAAAAAAGAGAAAGAAAATTATTAATGCTTAAGGCAAGATGTCTTGATTTAAGAAGTGCTTTTAATAAATTTATCTCTACCTGTTTGAAACACTACCGTAAAAAGGCAGCATGAAAAGAGAGAAACGTAAGTTATTGCTGTATCATTCCATGATGTTGGAGCTAATGTTTACTTTGAAAAACTTTTAAAGCAGTTTTCAGTCAAATTTCTAATTAATTTGTTCTGTATCGTATTCTCACTGACAAAGACTACAAAACATAATAATATGCACCCCAAGAAAAATCACCAATTAGTGTTTTCAGAGATCTGAAATATCTCATTACTTCTTTCATCAAAAGAGTAGTTTATCTGCATTTGCTGCATTATTAATGTTATGCTACAACATTGTTAAAGCAATTTCATTATTTCTACTTCAATGAAATCAGAGAAAAGATCTGTGTACTTTTTTCTCATGATTTTTACAAGCTGAGAAGCTGTCAATCATCCACAAATGAAAACAGGAGATCTGTTCAAGTACCGTTCCTTCTACAAATCAGACTTCTCTTTTCGTCTTTGTAGATGGATTTTGTCATAAATTTGCTTCCTAAACTTCAACATATCTTCTACATCTTTGTAGGTGAGCATTTCTTCAACAGACAAGAGCTTAAACCCATTCAGTTTAAAAGCTGACATGTGCTGCACAGAATTTAACATTTTTAACGACATTCTAGCTGATTCACTTAAAGTAGAACAAACAGGAAAAATCCTAGCAGTCCACAACCCCAAACGTGTGTTCTCACTGGAGAAGAGCTGGTCTGAAACCTTTACACCCCAGAGGTCCAAGCATTCTAGTAAGCCGACTCCAAAAAACTTGAGTGAATGTATATCTGACAACAATTTCACACTCTTTTTGAAGTCGTCTTCTACGCTGAACACCATACTTACATACTTTACTTGATCGTTAATTTTTATACTTAATGAACTCAGAAAACAGTTTGAAGGTATGTCTACTTTCAAATTTATGTGTGATCCGCTAATAATGCTGTTCTTCCCTATGGAGACTTCAGGTCCAATTCTAGAGTATTCAACAACGGATGCAGGTCCTATAGAACATCCAGGCTCAAGTATGCTTTGAATGATACTTCCTGATTGATCCAAGGTCTCAGCTTTGTCAGAAAAGACGCTAAAAGCCACAGACAGCAAGTTGAGCTCAAATTTCAGTTTGCTATCAGATGTAAAATGAAACAAATACTCTTGAGTAGTTCCAATGTGATAGAACTTAGAGTTGTTTAAGACTATAACATTAAGCGTAGTTCCTTTCAGAAGAGAGCGTAGCTTCTGTCGTACTTCTACTAACCGTGACTCCTCTTTTGTGACATTACTGGTATTTTTTGTGTAATCTTGAGTGGCTCCAGGTCCCAGGGCCTGGAGGAAGTCACCATATGCATCTATTTCACAGCAAAGAGTGCCCATCTGCTTATAAAACGTCAGTAACTGTTTCGCAGTGCTATGATCCATGTAAAATATACTGTCTGTATAGACACACTCCGAGTCCATTTCTGAGTCACCGTGGTCTCCAGAGGAACTTAGCTGAGAACAATTCCCTCTTACGCATACTGCACCACACCGGCGCATCGTCTCAATATCAGGCTTGTGCAGGAAATGATGGCAAGACGTGTATTCAAGTCCTCCTGTTCCTGAAAAACTGGATGGATCTAAAACAAACACTCCGTGAGTGGTCCCAACTGTCAAATCTGAAGGGTGAGCTAATGCGGTAAATCCAGGTTTATCAAATGTGACGGTTTCTGTAACTCCAGTGCTGTAAAGCTCTATGTCATCCGAACACGTAATGAGGATTCCTGGTTTCATGTGACTGGGGAAATCAATGTACATGGCGAGCTTCAGTTCCAACATCTGGTAAATGGGATCGCCAAAAGGCAAAGCTGTGAAAATCTTTCCCAGCGCACTTGCATTTGGTAAACGTTGACTGTAACCACCTTGAATAAAAAGACATCTTTAATTATACGGAGACACTGTATATAAGTAAGCAAAAACTAAACCTATACAGCTATTTTACATATACACAAAGGTATAAACCCCTCCCCTGGCTTGGTCATACACCAAGTATTCCTCAAAAAATGATGGATGTAAAAAAAATCAAAAAACATTCTTCCTCAAACATTTCTCAAAGCAGATCTGACCTTATGTCCAAAATACAGCATGCCTTAAATAGCTTATATTAAAATTGTGTTTGATTTCATTACCTTTAGTTTGCTTCACAGCTGGAATATGGACTTGTCTATAACTGAAGTGGAGAAAGCAAATGACACCTGTTTTTCCCTTGAAAAAAAGGAGAACCCCTGCACCCCCGCTGGGAATTTTAAGTCAGACATAAGTCAAATAAGCAGTGGTTTGGTCAGGTGACTTGTTATTCCTCGTTTCTTTCTCCTCTGCAAAACTGAGGCACCTTTTGGCAGTGTTCTGACTAATGGATAAGAAGGCAAGTATTCAGCCTGCCTGTAGTAGTGAGGACCCGCAGGTCCCCTACAGAGAGGGCCATGCTCCTTAAATGGGTATTTCAAGGCAAGAGCCTAATTCAGACACTCTGAATTACACTTCTTTCTCCACTGTTTGATCGAACAACTTAAGTGCTGAGAGAAATGTTTAAGTGACAGTAGTATCTCCTAAATATCAATCTAAATTCAAATGATCAGATCAGATACATTTGGAATTACTTTTCTGAGGGAACTGTATTTCAGAACTCTGACTCTGCCATCATATCATTTTTAGGGAAAAAAAGGGGTACAGCTTTAGAGTGTGAAATGTAAAATAGAATTTACCAGAATGAATTAGCAGCACAATAAAAGAAGTCCATTTATCACCATACAAATCTTCCAAGCATCGAAGAACATGAAGTGTTGATCCACCATTTCCTAAAGAAAAAATGTTTTAGGATCTGCTGAAAAGAGCACCAAGAGTATCTGCATTGACATGTGAAGTCTACTGGGATCTGGTGCTGTGGCAGGGTGATCAGGAAGCATGTTTTAAATGCTGCCTTCTGCTGTAGAAAATGCATCATGTATTTTTAAAAAAGTCTTTATGACTGCAGAGACGATCTTTTAAACAAACCGAGTGTCAGTGGATGCACAGATATCTACCTGAAATTTCCTAAACCAGTTCTGATCGAACAGTCTTTCTACTATATCGTAGTTGATAAAATCATGCAACGATGATGGACAGTCACTTTGGAAACCTTGTGCACTCAGCGGGGAGGGCATTTTGAGCAGACAGCTCTTGGGAAAATACCGTCCGAACAGTCTTTCTACTGTATCGTAGTTGATAAAATCATGCAAAGATGATGGACAGTCACTTTGGAAGCCTTGTGCACTCAGCGGGGAGGGCATCTTGAGCAGACAGCTCTTGGGAAAATACCGTGTCTGCCCCTCCCAGTCAGTCTCTGAACGGCGCCAGCATTTGAAGCATTTCGTCATTTCAGCAGACCGTAACTTAACCATAAGAACTAGCTCCAGTAGGAAGCAAGTCACACAAAAGTTCACTACTGACTTGAAGCAAGCGTTTGGAAGTACTTTTGATATTTACAAAATGGAAATGAGGAAAAACGTTTGGGATACGAGGAAAAGGTTTGGGATATTTTTGTGTTCTCCTACAACTTGTAATTGCTAGATTTCTGAAAATTAATCTCTGCCCATTATTCTACACTGCAGATAGACTACTGAGATTAGTTACTTTCTACATCAAAGTGAACAGGTATTAAGAATTATAGGATGATATTATGGACAGTCAGACTACCTTATTCTAGGTTTTTGCTGCACATTGGGTAATATAGTAAAACATATTCAAATTGTTTAAACAATCAGATTAAGGTAAGAAGTACGCATGTATAAAAACCATGAGTTAGTGTTATTCTGTATTCCATACGATACACTCGGA